ATCTCACTGATTGGTACTTTAAAGCTGAAAAACTCCAAATATTCACGTCCAAGATTCTGGATGAAGAATGTTTTTTGTACGTGTGTTGTGTGCGCTCACTCACCTGAGTACGAGTGCTGAGTTCCTGACTGCTCTGAGGTTCCCGCCACGTTACAGATTCCCTCTTTTTTATTAATCGCCTTCCTGAACGTCTTCGCCACCTCGGAGCTCTTCAGCCCGCGGACAACCTGCAGAACAACGCACAAGCTCAGAAAAATGACCACAGCAGAGACAGAGACAGAAACTTAGGAGAACTAACCTGAAATAAAAAGTCAAAAATCTAAGTGTTGCATCCCTGATTACCGCACATCCATGTTGTTAGGTGTGTAAACAGACGGTTATAAGCTGTGTGTCCTGAAGACTCACATGAGTGAACTCATCAAAGGTGAGCTGTTCGCTGGTCCTGGTCAGCTCCTGGACGATCTCTCTGATCCTGTATCCGGGCAGAGCCAGGTTAGCAGCTTTGAAAAGGTCTGTGAGCTCGGCTTTACTGATGAAACCGTTGTTATCCACATCTGGAGGAAGAGGAGGAGGAGGAAGAAGAGGAGGAAGAGGAGGAGGAGGAGAATGAGGAGGAGGAGGAAGAGGAGGAGGAAGAGAGGAGGAGAATGAGGGGGAAGAGGGAGGAGGATGAGGATGAGGAACATGAGGAGGAGGAGGAGGAGGAGGAGGAGGAGGAGGAAGAGGATGAGAGGAGGAGGAGGGGGAGGAGATGTTATGTTTATTGCAGACGTTGTGCAGTGTATGTTGTTGTGTTTTTCGTTTGCAGGTATCCTCTGTGCTTTTCTGTAATTGTGTTTGTTTCTTTTGTTTTTATTTATTGATTTGACTGTGGAGGAAGCTGAATGTTTTGCAGCACTTAGAATCCAAGATAGAATTTCCCAAAGAAGACAATAAATATAAATAAATAAAGTTTATCTAATCCTATCATGTCGTATCATTCTGTAACATAACATAACACGCAGTATCGTATTGTGTCTGATCATATTGCATCGTATCACATCCCATAATATTGTCTGCCATCGTATTTTGGCTAAAATTTAAACGTTCTGATGAATGTGTGTGTGTGTGTGTGTGTGTCTCCTTCTCTTCTCTGAGCTCCTCCAGCTCCTCTGCAGGGATCTGCGTGGGGGTGTCCATGTTTGGAACCTGAATCGGACACAGGAGACATAAAGACGGTCTTAGCCTTAAAGTGAAACTCTGAGTGTGGCAGTGTTGTGTTGGTGAAGAGAAAAAAGGAGGAACTCAATTGTGACTCCTGATTCTGTTCTGTGATGCAAAGTGCTCGCACTTCTCCCTTCTGCCAGCCTCCGACTTCCTGCTTGTGCTGCTCTCTGTGTCGGACAGAGAAGTGTTTCTTTGCTGCGTGAAATAAGATCTGACGACCTGCTCGCCTCCTGCTCACTTATTTAGAGCGTACATCTCATTTTAAGACACTTCACATGTGAATACTGCATGCTGCATTCATTAGCAGATATTTACACGTATTATCAGCAGCTGTAATGTCTTCAAATCTAAATTGAAGCTTCTGGAGCAAATTAATCATCAAGTTAAACTCAGGATCCTCAATGTTGAAACTGAGGCCTGAATCTATGAAGAAGGAAACAGAGACATTTCCCCGAGCTTCTACAGATCTGTAGAGTCAAACACGTCTTTGATATTTCCATGACGACAGGACTTTTTCCTTTCTATCTTAAATGTTAAAGCTCTCGTTAAATGAACTGACGGATGAATGCACGCCACTCAGTGGGTCAAAGTGATCGTTGTTAGTTAACCTCCTCACTTCCTGCTGCACCCTGCATGTTCGTCTGCAGCTTTAGAGGTGTGAATTCGTCCAGGTTAAAGAGGCTGAGAGGACGGGAGAGCTCAGTTATCAGAACTGTTCACTCTTTCCTGTTTTCAGATCTTCAACTTAAAGGTCATCGATCAAATATAACTCATGACGCTATAAAAATAAATCTTTTCAGAGATGAAACATCGAGCTATTTCTGAAACTTGTTCATACGTTTATCAAGACGACTTTTTCTGCAGTTGACATTTGAGTTTTAAAGGTCATATATTCTATAAAATCCACTTCACCATGTTCCTCTAACTCTTATATGTGCCTCTAGTCTGTCTACAAACCCCCAATGATGAATTTGCCTGCTCCACTTTTCAGAAAATGTGTGCTCAAACAGGCCGTTGATGATTTTCCCTTCATGACATCACAAAGGGCAGTAACCCCTCCCCCAGGTGGGTGACACTCCCACAGCTAGGTGTTTGTTCTGCCCTCTGAGTCTGCCTTCTCACAATAAACAATAGAACATGGAGCAAGAAAGCCAGAGACACCCAAGACCTTCCAGAGAGGGGGCGTGGTCAGACACAGCTCATTTACATTTAAAGGTACAGACACAGAAACAGCCTGTTCTGAGCAGGGCTGAAATAGAGGGGTTTATAGACATGATCAAATACAGGATCAGAGTGGATTTAGAACAAGAGACTTCACACACATGTTTTGGGAACTCTGAGACTTATTTACACTGGTTGAAGAGGAGGAGGATATGTGACCTTTAAGTTGGCGTTTAAAAGTAAACTGAGAATCCACAGATACTTCTTCACCTCTGTGACTTGTTCAATAAGTTCACCTTTAATTTGGACCTGTATCGGTTCTGTTGCAGGTACCTTTCATTGACCTGCTAACTTGTCTTCTATATTTTAAACATCTGTTTGTTTGGATTTTGTTGAAGTCTCTCTGTTTTATCTCACTGTTGATGCTTATTGTGTTTTATTCCTGACTTCCTGCCTTTGCGCTGTCCATCTAAGCACTTTGTAAACATCTGTTTTGAAAGGTGCTTTATAAATAAAGGTATTGATATTATTTTTATTAATCTGCTCGATGACTTTACTGAAGACGACGGGAACATATTGTGCAAAACGTTCCTTTAAGAGTAAAAGTGCGAGAGCGTCAAAGGTGTCCAAAGTGCAGCTCTTGAGTAAATAAAACTTGACCACTGAACTTCCAGTTTTCTAAATCTGTGACTAAAGTTTTTATTTTTTTGCAACATCACGAGGATCTGACGTCATGGACAGGACCGTCTCCGAATGGCGTGTCAGATTACTCACGTGTTCTTCTACATTTAGCATCCTTTAAGTTAAATCTGAAACATGAGCTCAAGCTTCTCTAACACAAAGTCGATTAGAAACATCAAACTGTGTGCTGAGCTCAGTTTGTGTCTGCTGCCTCTGCCCGGGGGGGGGGAGGTGGTTCTTTCCTCTAGTTTTCAGTTGAGGTGAAGCTAACCACAGACTTCCTCTTCAACTCTGCAGAGGTTTAACTTCATCTTCCTCTCTGTAGGCCTCGCTCTGACTCAAACTGCTTATCACTTCAAGTTTGAAATCTTTCTCTTGTCAGTTATGTTCAAAATTAAACAATATTTTGAGCTATCGAGTTTGAAAGTTCCTGTTTTTCTTTGTTTTGTTTTTGCATGAAGTTGGAAATATTTTGAGAAAACTCTGTCTTATAGTGAAGACAGGTCGGTGTTTGGATCAAGAAAATATACAAAATCATGAGATTACGAACGCGTCCCGTACTTGTTCTTCCTCTCTTTCTTTTCCACAGCTTCTCTTTAACACAAAAACAATCAAAGTATTTTACAAATCCTCTCAGGTGACTCTGAAGCCACTATGATGCCTTCAGGGACACACCTGTGTCGATCAGAGTCGGGAGGATCTCTTGTTATTTACCTGTGAGATGATTGAGGATGCTGGGGGTCTCTGGGTGTAGAGGGTCCCTGTGTCGGTCCGTCTGGCTGCTGGTCTGCTCTCTGCAGCTCTGAGGCGACACGCAGAGCACGGCGACACACATCTATTCAAATGTACGAGGAAGGAAGTGACACGCCACACTTCAGAAACAGGAATGAAGGCGTTTTGTCTTTATATGGCAATGCACGCTGATCACAACTCAAGGTGACCCCCACATGAGCCTACAGGGGCTGCAGAGACCAGTTTCAGGGTCTCAGAGGGGGTTTGGACTCATGAGAGGATCAGAGGTCACAGGAGCGAGGGATTCATTAAAGAGACAGACAGACAGACACACAGACAGACAGAGAGAGAGACAGACAGACAGACAGACAGACAGACAGACAGACAGACAGACACACACACAGACAGACAGACAGACAGACAGACAGACAGACAGACAGACAGACAGACACACACAGACACACACACACACACAGACAGACACAGACAGACACAGACACACACACAGACACACAGACACACAGACAGACAGACAGACAGACAGACAGACTGACAGACTGACTGAACAGTGAATTTGAACTATGACCATCAAACCTGAGAACCAGAGTCCCACAAAGCACTCCTTTGGTCACCAGTCAGTCCTAAAACAGGTTCATCTGGAACTGAAGCAAAGTTCAATGCGCATTGAAGCCCTCTGAATATTTGTTCGGTGTTTGAATGTTGAATCTTTTTTTCCACTATGCCATGGGAGATTTCCCAGCACTAAGATCTGTGATCGCCTTCTGGATCTCTGCAGTTAGAAAGCTCTTCATAGGCAGGGCGCCAGGTGGGGAGGAGATTCGCCTTGAGGTTCTAAAAGCTCTGGACATTGATGCGCTGTCTTGGCTGACGCGCCTCTTTAATGTCATGTGGAGGTCTGGGACAGTGCCTGTGGTGGTGGCCTCATTTTTATTATTTTATTTATTATTTTTTATTATTTTTCACAACTTTTATGTTGAGTTACCTTGTGTCATCATTCAAGAAATTAGACAAAAAAATAATAATAGAAATTAATAATATTAAAATAATAATATTTTAATATTGTCATTAATAATTAAACTCCTTTTCTACATCTTTCATGTTATATTTAAAAAGATATGCGATTATTAAATAAATGAGGCAAAAAAAATATAGAAAGATGTCACGTGTCAATGACGTGTAGATAAACAAACGCTGGACCAATCAGTGAGAAGCAGGTCAGTTACTTCCGGTATAGTAACGTCTGGTGTTGTTGTCAAAATGGATGAACATCTTCATAACCTCCACCATCACCACCATCACTTCTCTCTGTGTTTCTGCGACCTGATGAGGTAACCTTCTCCTTCAAGTCTCCCGCTGAGAAACATTTAATGAAAACGGAGAATCAGCGGGAAATAACGTGACGTAACGAGCTAGTTTAAGCCTAGCAGCTAAAATAAGCTAAGCGGCTAATCTCAGAGTAAACATCACCTTCAGATTCACGGTTCTTCTATCATCCGCTTAGGTAACGGTAACTGTCTCCTCACTCCTCTGCCCCCCTCTTACCTCCTCAGGTTGTTATGGTCCCTGGTGGTCCCCTGTGTGTACCTCAGCCTGGTCCTGACTCTGCTGCTGCTGCTGCTCCTGATGGGGGTCCGTGTGGCTGCAGGGCCGCCAGAAGGCCCGCCGGGCTCAGGACGACGGCCCCGCGGTGGCTTTCTTCCATCCGTACTGCAACGCCGGAGGAGGCGGGGAGCGGGTCCTGTGGTGCTCCCTGAGGGCCCTCATGAACAGGTGCGAGGGGCTCACCTGTCTGTCTGTTTATCTGACTCCACCTCAAGAAGGAAATCACTCCTGCGTAACTCACTCTGCAAACAGAAATGTCAAAGAAAAAAAAAAAAAAATCATGGCTGTGTTTAATAGAATTTAAAAAAATTGACCAGACCACCAGGGTCTGTTGTACCACCAGGGCTTAATGGATCAATCTGTAAGAGATGTAGTGAATTCAATGATGAAGGGAGGAGGCGTAAAGTCAGAATCTAGGCCTTCACTCTAGCAACACCATCAGACACTTCAACCTAAACCTGTTCATGATGGAGCCCCTTATTAAAAGACTTTACAACGAGCTGACTGAGAGGATTTGATCCTGTTTGAACTTACTGACTTAAAGTTTGTGTTGGACTGCAGCGCAGAACTGTCACCAACGCTGCAGCTTCGTTTTTAATGCTAACCGTGCTTTTCAAGACAATGTTGGAGACATGATCGAAGTCCACCGCCTATCAGGCCATCCACTACGTGTCTATGGCACTGGGCCGCATATCCTATGAAGTTAATGCTGCTTGACTGCTTGTGCACAAAACACACAACTCACTCACTTTTTTTCTCCCAGATACCCAAACTTCTCCTTCGTGGTGTACACGGGTGATCAGGGAGTGACGGGCGAGCAGATTCTGGAGGGAGCCCGACAGCGTTTCAACATCACGCTGCCTCGACCTATCACCTTCATGTTCCTGCGTCACCGCGCGCTGGTGGAGGCGGGGTCTTACCCTCACTTCACCCTGCTGGGCCAGAGCGCCGGGTCCATGTTCCTCGGTGAGAATGCAGGCACTGACGATCGCAGACAGAAATGTTGTTTGTTGTTCTCTTTCTGTGCAACGGTTACAAGAGTTCATGTAACAGAGATTTGAAGTCCTCAGAGCACACTGTATTTCAAACGTGGGTGTGTGTGTGCGTGTTTCAGGCTGGGAGGCTCTGACGGCGTTTGTTCCCGACCTGTACGTGGACTCGATGGGTTACGCCTTCACTCTGCCCATCTTTCGTTACCTGGGAGGATGTAAGGTGGCGAGCTATGTTCACTATCCTACGGTCAGCACCGACATGCTGTCTGTGGTCAGAGAGAGGAACCCCAGGTAACACACACACACACACACACACACACACACACACACACACACACACACACACACACACACACACACACACACACACACACACACACACACACACACGCACACACTGTTTAGTCTCTGGTAAACAAAACCAAACTAACCTTCTGACTTCATCTTTTCCAGATTCAACAACGCCGACTTCATCTCCGGAAACCCGGTGCTGAGCGCCGTGAAGGTGGTGTATTACTGCTGCTTCGCCCTGCTGTACGGCCTGGTGGGCTCCTGCAGTGATGTTATCATGGTGAACTCCACCTGGACGCTGGGACACATCCTGGCTCTGTGGCGCTCCCCGAGCCGCACCAGCATCGTGTACCCGCCCTGCGACGTCAGGGCGTTCCTGGACGTCCCCCTGGAGGACGAGGACGAGGTGGAGGAGGAGGAGGGCTGGGAGGAGCTGGGACAGGAGCTGGGGAGCAAAGAGGAAGGAGTCGGAGGAGGTGACAGGAAGTGCCACTCCATCGTCTCCGTGGGCCAGTTCCGGCCTGAGAAAGACCACCGTCTGCAGATCCGGGCGTTTCGTAAACTGCTGGACAGGAAGGGGGAGGGGCCTGGGGCACAGGAGTCTCTGCGGTTGGTGCTGATTGGTGGATGCAGGAATCAGGAGGACGAGGAGCGGGTGCTGATGCTGCGGGGGCTCTGCGAGGAGCTCGGAGTGTCCGCCCACGTCGACTTCAAACTCAACATCCCGTTCGAGGAGCTGAAGAGGGAGCTGGTGGACGCACGATCGGCCTGCACACCATGTGGAACGAACACTTCGGCATCGGTGAGGACAACACACACACACACACACACACACACACTCCTCTCAGGTATCAGATTATATATAATATTATTATATAAAGAATAATCCTTTTTTTTTTTTAACATTCGGACTAAACATCTTAAAATCAATCTCAGCACCACCTTCGTCGTATCCCTGCAGCAGATCATTGATCGTTGTCTTCTGTGTGTATGTGTGCAGGTGTGGTGGAGTGTATGGCCGCAGGAACCATCGTCCTCGCTCATAAATCTGGCGGTCCAAAGCTGGACATCGTGGTTCCCTTTGAGGGCGAACAGACGGGCTTCCTGGCCGACAGTGAGGACAGCTACGCCGCTGCCATGGAGACCATCCTGGCTCTGTCTCCTTCAGCGAGACTGGAGATGAGACGAAACGCCCGGCGATCCGTGGAGCGATTCTCTGACCAGGAGTTTGAGACGTGTTTCCTGTCTGCCACGGAGACGCTGATGAGTAGACTGCAGCGATGAAGACGAGCGGAGGAAAACTGGAACCAGGGACGAGGACTTTTACTCTTAATTTCATGAGTCGAGCTGCAGGGATGATCGGAGTGAGCAGGAAGAGCGATTCTTGTCCATCCAGTCCTTATTATGACAAATAATCAAAAACAAAAACACACAGGAGACTTCCAGCGACATGCATGCGTCGGACTCATCCGTCTTCAGCTGTTTGTTTTCCACCTTAAAGACGAAGAAGAAGAAGCCGTCGGCTCATCTCTGACAGGAAGTCTCATTCTCTTCAAACTAAAAGTCTGCAACTATATAAAACTCCTCTTTAAGTTTCCTTCATGAAGATATTTTAGTTTTTAATAGAAAACAGAATATTCACTTTAAACCGTCAGCTGACGAGACGTTTGGAAACGGCTTCATGTTCCTCTAACTTTCTGTTTAATCCCAGTGAGACGTTTAGAGCGAGGAGCTGAAACACGTTCAGGAGAATTTTGTTGGTTTTCTTTGCAGGACTTTAAACAGATTATAATATTTATGAGATGTGACCCAGGATCTGTTAAAGCTGACATCAAACTGCTCGCCCGCACAAAGAGAGAAACGGACGTCTAAAAGTTTGAAAGTTTCCTGATCAGGTCGTCCCGGACTCACACGTGTCAAAGTGTCGCGCTTGAGCTCAGATTTAGACAAAGCTGAAACTGAATTCTTGTATAGTTTTCTTCATCGACCATCTTTATTTACCTGAAATACAGGGTTGTCCCAAAACCAGAATTCAAAACTTTAATAAGATTCTCATAAAATCCTCCGGTACTGTGTGCTCGCTTTCATGAAGCGTTTGTGCGCTGAGAAGAAAAGCGCTGCACGTCTGTCCTGTCTCTATGACAACAGTCTGTTGACAACAGGTGCTGTATGGCCGACTCTGCTCCATTAATTTTTACTGCATGTTTAATATTTGAGGTCGTTTATTTACCGATCAGACAGGGAGCGAGGAGGGAGTGAGTACAAGATACGATCCACAGGAGACAAAACGTACATACATTTGGAAAAGAGCGCCAATGACGTCAACAGCGTCTTTCTGAGCTCTCGGAACGGCAGCACAAAAAAGGAGGAGCGGGTTTGGGGAAAAAAAACACTGGGCACTGCGCTTTCTGCTGCAAACTCTACTCATTGAAAATAATTCGGAAACAAACTGTATGAGGTCAGATAAAAAAAACATCAGGTGTACACAGGGCCTGAGACGTGTGTGATCTCATGTTTAGACCCAATGCCGCCTAAAAACAGCCTCAAAGCTGAGTAATGTTTGAAAATAAAAGCTGAAGGTTTCAACGTTTACTCAAATCTTTATTTCTCTGCTTCTTCTGCAGCTAAACACATCATATTAAAAGCTTAAACTACAGACCTTTGTCACTGCACTAAAGTTCATTTACATTTTTTAAAATCATCAAAAACAACACGTGTCGATGTTGCATCTGCTCTTAAAGGTAGAAGCACGGCAATGTTGACTCCGGTCTAAATGGGTCAAAGGTTTAAATTACACAAAAACGCTGACATGTTTTTGTTCAGTTTAACTCTGCAGGAGTTTGGCTGCATCTTTTCATGAACCATTTCAGAGTGCAATTCCACTACAGCGCTGTAACTGAGGTGATATTGGCGTCACATTGTGGTATGTTTTTGTGCAGGAGCGTGTTTGAAATTTGAATAACTGAAAAAAGATTTGTGTTGTCTAGAACTTAGTTTTTTTATTACTGTGATATCAAACCGGTTTCTTTATCGTTTGAGTTTTCCTAGAATGATATTAAAGTTTACATTTCTGGTATCATGACAACCCTAAGTTAGCCAACAGGTTCCCCTCCTCAGCCTTTATGCTCAGCGAGGATGAAACAGATTCTAGCGAAGGTGACGAGGACGAGGACGCACTTTATTGAAAATGTTCCTTTAAACTTGAACTGAGAGGAGAAATTCATTCCGAGACAAAGACGCACAGTGTCCTCTCAAAGCGAGCGATCTGGGATTGATACTGATGTGGTGATGTTTTTGTTATAAATTGATGTACGAAGTTAAACACAGACTTTGGAAGTTCTGTGAGAACGTTTAGAAGCACTTTGCGTTCAGATGAAGGCCAAATTTGTGTGTGGAGTTCATGTTGATTCACTTCCTGCATTCCTGTTTGTGATGAGGTCCGGGCACCGAGACTTGTTTGTGTGTAAAATATGAAAGAGCCTTTATTTTGAAAGATATGTTACTATTTAAACCTGTCCGAAAGGAGACGGCGTCCAATGAGAAACTGAATTCACTTTAAACTTTTTTCTGCAATTAAAACAATCATCAAACACTTCTTGTTGATTGTTTGTTGTGTGCTGCCACCCAGAGGCCAGAAACAGAACTACACCAAACATTTCACATCCTACAAATAAACCAGAAATCAGACCTGCACTGAAGCTGCTCCATCATGATGAGTGATGATATATTTCTGTTAAAGTCTGAACCAGTGGGTCTTGCATGTTATCTGACTAATCATATTTATTTAAAGGTCACATATTCTTCTCCTCTTCAACCAGTGTAAATAAGTCTCAGCGCTCCTCAAAACGTATGCGTGAAGTTTCTTGTTCTAAATCCACTCTGATCCTGTATTTGATCATGCCTATAAAACCCTCTATTTCAGCCCTGCTCAGAACAGGCTGTTTCTGAATCTGTAGCTTTAAATGTAAATGAGCTGTGTCTGACCACGCCCCCTCTCTGGAAGATGTCATAACCTGGCTCCGTGGCCATGACAAATATGAGAAAGAACAACTTAAATTGAGGTAACAATGATTTATTAGAACAACGCACCCACAACCATAGCACAAACAAACATGGAATGAATGTCAATGTTAGGCAGGAGAGAGAGAGAAAATCCACCCTGGGGTCGGGTTGTCACAAAAGGGCTTGGGTGTTTTGGGCTTTCTCGCTCCATGTCCTATTGTTTACGATGAGAAAGCAGACTCAAAGGTCAGAACAAACACCTAGCTGTGGGAGTGTCACCCACCTGGGGGAGGGGTTACTGCCCTTTGTGATGTCATGAAGGGAAGTCTCCAAACGGCCTATTTGAGCACACATTTTCTGAAAAGTGGAGCAGGTAAAAGACGGAGAGGATGGACTTTTGTCATCATTGGGGGGTTTGTAGACAGACTAGAGACACATTCACAGTTAGAGAAACATGGTCAAGTGTGTTGCACAGTTTGGATCTCAGACGGTATGAAACGTGATAGAGCAAAGAGACCGACCAAAACAAAAAGTCTCTTCACATACTTTCTGACACAGTTGTTTTCAGGGCACAATTCTCTAAAAAGGAACCTTAAATTACAGATCATAAACACTGCAGACAACAGACTGGGTTCTCCCGGCCTCTCAACTCCAATTTCATTAATTTAACATCTCAGAGTCTTGGTTGTTACAGATGTTCAGTGTAGATTCAGTATAACGAGACAAAGATGCTCCAGCTGCTGAGGTCTTATTGTCCAACACTGAAGGTATGTTTGCACTCAGGTGGTTTGATACTGTGTGTTATCAAACTGACCGTCACCTCCTTCAAGCTCAGGCACGACAACCTCAGTCAGATTAGCAGCGACATCACCTGAATCCTCGATCTCTGTCTGAACTTGTTGAGGGTCTGCAACTCTTCTCTCATCCCTCGCCTCACTCCCATCATCCGCCTCCGCTCCCTCTTCTGTTCTCTCCTCCTCCGAGCTCCCGTCCTCCATCACAAACAGATTCTTCATGGAGTCTGCCACCGCCTCCCTGAGCTCGTCCTCCGACTCCTCAAAGTTTCTGATGATGAACAAAATAAAATAAAGTGTCAGATTTGAAGCTAAACGACAGAGATCAGTCTTACAGGCTGGAGGAGACACATGTGCATAATCCATCATGATGGATGATACTATCTTGCTCGCTGCAAAACAAATCTTCCTACAGGTACAAAGTCAGACTATAAATATTAATGTTTGAAGCCTGGGTGACGTCCCCTGTCTGTTCCTGCAGGGGGCGCTGGAGTTCCATCGATGGTGGTCTCCATGTTGAAAATGCTGTCTCGGTCTAACTTTCTGTCAACCTAACAACAGGCTGAGAGCTGGAGCTGTGACAGGTTTTAAGCCTCCTGACAAACTGTTACACCGCGCCCGCCTGTCAATCATGTCAGCTACACGCCTTGTTGTGAATAACTCTTATCCTTCATCAAATCAAAACTGATGAGTCATCAAAACATTCACCCCCCCGTACAGTGTGTGTCGATTGAGACATGAGCTAATCAGAAGTATTTGTTTTTTTGAACCAGGCTGTAAACATGTTAATCTCTGCTGTAAGAACAGGCTTTTTAGAATGGGTGTGTATGTGACTTCCTGTGCTTCTGCAGCCTCTAGTGGACACTCGAGGAACTGCAGGATTTTACACTTCCGCATTGGCCAAAGTTACCTGAACTTGAAGCAGGTGGAGGACCAGCATGACCAGGATTGGCTGATGTTGTTTTTTTTGCCCGCTTTTTGGACAATAAATGATAAAAAGTGGCGCTCTTGTATGGACAGTGGACTTCAGTATCCTGTGTACAGCACATCTCTACGGTGCATTACGGGGCACTTGATGATTATGTTTGATTTTTGATTTTTTTTTTACTAAAATCATTTTTGAAGTTGTATTAGCAGTGACTGAAAATGTTCGGCTGAGACTGAATGTTGTTATGTTGCTGAAAGATTCACAGAAGTTAAGAGAATTAAACTTTTGAACTTTTAACACGAGACGGAAGAACCTTTAAGTGTCTGTTACTGAAACTAACCCTGGAGACTTTATTGACATCATGACATACAGAGAGCAGTGAACAGTGTTGACTCACGTGTCGTCATCGTCCGACCTCGGCTCCAGACGTTCTTCATCCATCTCTACGTCAGAGACCTCCTCCTCCTCCCTCCCCACCTCCTTCTCTTCCTCCCTCACTTCCTTCTCTTCCTCCCTCACTTCCTTCTCTTCCTCCTCCTCCTCTGACTTTAAATCTGAAAGAAAGGACAGTTCCATATTCTCAGACAAATGCATTTAACAAACCGTCCTTACTCCATATCTGCAAAGTTAGAGAAGTCGGACCTTCAGTCGCTGAGTCCAGAGTCGAGGTCGTGAGATCAGCCTCAGCCAGCGCGTTGAGCAGTGTGTTGGGGGGGCCGTCAGCCCACACCCTGCGACCTGCCGCCTCCTCGCCTGAGGGGGGGGGGGGGGGCGGAGACAACAGTCAGTATACATCGGTATTATCTCACTGTTACTACAACTGATCTGTAACGTGTTAATCTGATGGCGATAGATTTGCAAACAGGACAAATTTTACTCTTGACCGAGACTGACTTTTTGTTGGAATCTTGATTTGTCTATAACAAAACCAAATATTTATTTAGACCCCTGAGCATTGTTCCTGGAGAGGCTGTAACAGAGAAAGGCTCGCGGCGCCGGATAGCCGAGCAGTTATGTCAATTGGCCTGTGTACAAAGGTGCTCGGATGTAGATCTGGTGGAAGAGGCTGTAAACCTGCACACATGTTTTTGTTTCTTTTTTTTACTGCACCTCGTTCGCCTCCGACCGTGTTGTCTGCAGAGTAGACGTCCATGTTGCAGAGTGCCTCCAGCAGAGTCCGAGGAGTCCTTTGGCTCCACCCCCTTCTCGCCCCCTCTGACCAATCCCTGAGCTTCATGTCCTCTCCCTGCTGGAAGGTCAGAGTCTGGTTCAGAAGGTCGACTTCCTGTCAGAGGAGACGGGGACAGAGTTAGAGAGACAGAAAGAGAAGAAGAGGAGGTGTGAAGGAGAGACGGAGAGTTTGAACTTACCTCCTCCTCTTCCTCCTCTTCCTCCTCTTTCTTCATCTCCTCTTTTTCCTCCTCTGCATCCTTTTTCATCCCTTCTTCATCTAACCGGATCTCAAACATGATTCCCTTCTGCAGGAATGACACACAAAATAAACATCCAAACATGAAACCTTCATCTTCAGTTTTTACTGGTAACTTTTCCTAAACCAGTGAAGAAAAAAATCTGGAGTTTTCTGCAAATGTGACAGCACTTTAAAAGTCTCTGGCCTTTACAAAAACAGAAGAATGGCGTGCAGGAGAAAGCGGTTGCTCTCTCCGGTAACAATCCGGACTGTACCTAGTTTAACATAAAACACAGACTCTGGTAATAAATGTTATACAAGCTGCTTTTATATTTTCAGATTGATAACAGGCTGAGGACTAAGCTGTACGTTAGCTTCAGGCTGTTACAGAAAGATTTGGCATTTTAGTTTAGACCAGTGGTTTCTCAACTGGTGGGTCGGGACCTAGAAGTGGGCAAGTGTGTTTGTCTGATGTCAGAAAGTCTGTGAAGAGTGTCGGGTGTTCCTTTTCTTACTAAGCAACACAACATGACTTAAGAAAGGCTCTGGGTCTCCTTTGGCGGTCTGAGCTGGACTTTCAGGTGTACCTCACCTTGTCTCTGTGTTTCTTCTCCAGAGCTCTCCTCTGGTCTCTGTTCTCCTCCCTGATCTGCTTCAGAGCCGCTTCAACGTCCTGCAGAAAGTTTACAGTTACATATATACTCTTAAGTGTGGCTCAGCTGATGTCCTGTCAGTGTTTACCTGTGCAGGTGAGACTCTCGGCTGCTCTCTGCTGTCTGCAGAGGGTTCAGGGTCTCTGGGTTTGTCCACCACAAAGGTTTCATGTTTGTGTTGTGGCTGAGCCTGAAACATTGGAAATATCAGAGTAAAGACGCTAGTTCGGTTTAAAGCATAATGTACCTGTAAACATGAATCCTTTTCAGGCTGTCACTGTGTCACTGTGTTATTAAAGGTCAGACATCAATATAATCACAAGGACCTCTTCACATCCTGACAGCATCTATAATGTAATGCTCTCAAAAAAAGAACAATCTGGAGTGTCTCTTCTCTGCAGGCCTGAAATAAGAACGTGCACATTCAACTCTTTGACATCGACATTTGTCAGGGTCGTAACTTTCAAATCCAGCTTCCTCTTGTTGTTTTTATTTTCCAAGTTAGCCAACCAAAGCTGCACGATTCACCAAAACAAATCAACATGTAGTATAAACAGAGATTCAGGGATGCAGAAATCAGCCTTCACATAAAAGATGAAGATTATGAGTTCAGAAGGTTTGGTTTGAAGTAGAGAGCTGCTTATCAAATGCTTCAGGAATTAAAATGTATTCAGATCCTCAGTTTGTCTTTTTTAAGATGTTTAGAATGACAGCTTGTGGTAACCACAGAGCTGGAATATTTTCTCAATTATATTCAAAAAGCGAAAACTAGAGTATAGATAAAATGCAAACAGGTTCAGGACAAACAGGTTCAGGGAAAAAAGAGAAAGGTCCGCACACTGTTCAGATCTTCCAGAGGGAAATTTGGCAGGAGACAAAACTAAAGTGAGGTATGATTCCAAGATCCGTAAACAGCTTAGCCTAGCATTCTGCAGAATAACCAGTGACTGGCAGTCAGACTACACAGTGCTGTCCAACAGTGGACTATACCATATTTGAGTTGTTTAATGAGATATGAAAATGGTTTGAGGTTATATTGACTGCTTTTGAAAATGCTGAAGTTGATCTTCTGGTCGTCATTCTCTGTTTGGCTTATATGTGTTGTTTTTGTTTGTTTGTTTTTCTTGTTTTTCTGTGTGTGTCTGTGTGTCAGGGAACTGTAAGGGAACAGACTTTGTGTTGGTACCTCTGCTTCAGCTCTCTGCCTCATCTGTCTCATTTCCTGGTGATACTGCTGTCTGATGAGGTCCAGCTGACGCAGGTACTCCTGCACACAGACACACGTGTAAATCTGAATTTTAGCATGGAGAACAAACTAAGATAAAAAGGAAATCATAGAAAAACAATGTAGGTACAAAGACTACAGTTGGAAATATGTGTCCTGAGTGTCCGACCTGCTGTCCGTCCGGCCTCCTCTCCTGAGCTGCTGGTTGGTGTTCAGGTGATCGCTCTTCCTGCTCTTGACCTTCAGGCCTCCTGTTGCTCTCAGCTGTACACGGACGCAGACCCTGGCGGTCAGAGAAGAAAGGTCAATGATAAGAACTGCATGGGTGTCGAGGCTGTAGCGGGACATTACATCAGCCAGTTAGAACCCTGAAGTCTTTTTTTTAAATATTTATATTTATTGTTTAAGTGTGTTTTAGAGCTTTAAGAACGTAAGTTCTGCCCTCTGAGTCTGCCTTCTCACCGTAAACAATAGGACATGGAGGGAGAAAGCGCGAGACACCCAAGCCCTTCCAGAGAGGGGGCGTGGTCAGACACAGCTCATTTACATTTAAAGGTACAGACACAGAAACAGCCTGTTCTGAGCAGGGCTGAAATAGAGGGGTTTATAGACATGACCAAATACAGGATCAGAGTGGATTTAGAACAAGAAACTTCACACACATGTTTTGACGAGCTCTGAGACTTATTTACACTGGGGAGGAGAATATGTGAACTTTAAATGACAACAAACTTCTGGTTTGACGTTACTTCTCTTTTCCCCTACCAGCTTAGTCCAAACCAGAAGAATCCTAAACGAGTGGGCGGATAAATGTGATGATCAGCAGACTGTGTCTCTGCGGAGCTTCAACCCACCAGCTGTTTCTCCGCTCTCAGTTTGTACTGGTTTGCTTCGTGTCTCCTCTGCAGGTATTCATTACGAGCTGCAGCCACGCTGACGGACACAAACAGGAATACACAAACATTAAATACTGACTGTTTCTGCAAACACTCACCAAGCAGCTGCTTCATTACCAACACAACTAATCATTCTAATCACTGCTTATGTTTGAGACAGGAGGGGACGGATGTGTTGAGGTACAGTTTAAAGCTTCGTAAACGTAGAATTTATGAAACCATGCAGAGTTACCTGGACAGGTGTCTCTAATACTGTGCAAGGAACTCAAAAATAAGCAAGTGTGTTTGTCTGATTACTCATCAAAAATTTCTCATTACAATTATTTTGTAAAGAATGTTAAAATAAATGATGCTGGTGTTCGGTCACTCACATCTGGTACGGCTCCACAGACGGGACTTCATGTGGCTCCCTCTCTCTCTCCAGGTGAGGAGGAGGAGGAGGAAGAGGAGGAGGGAGGACGTCCTCCCTCTTCCTCCTCTGTAAGGCGTCCAGCTGGGCGTGGTATTGCTGGTAATGGCAGCGCGGCTGCTGCTCATTTAACCTGAGGCGGAGAGGAGAGAACAGGAAACAGGTGAGTCAGTGAGCGGTCAGAACATCCCTCTGTGTTTTCTAATGCAGGTGTTGTTCTTGTTGGAGTGACTGACCTGTGGATCTCTCTGTCAGCAGCTGCTCTCTGATGAAGAGGCTGCAATCATAAACACATCAGGTGTGACTACAACACAGACATAAACAGACAAGAGTCCAGATTTAAGAGGCAGCGTTAACCAACAGTCTCTACAGCCGACAGTCAACACGCTCTCCTTTAATCTGTTACTGATGCATGCAGCAACCTTCAATAAGGAAAACAATATTTTAACAGGCTTCCTGAATTTGACCCCTTGGGATCAGTAAAAGATGATCTTATCTCTGAGCTGAGGCATTGTTTGACGACCGAGAAACTAGAACAGCTTAATATTAAAGGTCCCATATTATGCTTTTTCTGGTTTTATATGCTCTTTAGTGTGTTTTCCAAGTGTCCTGTGCATGTTTAGGCACAGGAAACGTGGCTTCTCCTACCTCCTCCTGTTAGCTGTAGCATTAGCCGCATGTAACGCTCGGTTCTAGCCCCTTGATAAAAATTTGTCAGTGCTGCGTCATTGTCAGTGTGAGATCACTGATCTAAGCCCATTGGCTCGTTGTGGCTAGCCCAGCAGCTCATGTTGAAATTTCCGAGACGCGTGCTGAGCAACTGACCAATAACGACAGAGCGGATCGGCAGACCAATCAGAGCAGACTTGGCCCACGTGGGGTCTAACAGTGTGGGCTCAAGAGAGCGTAGCTGACGGACTCAGAGCGGAGAGGGAGCAAGGAGGAGCAGTACATGAAAACAGACACTTTTTTCGGACTTTAGTTATTGTGAACGTACAAAAGTAGGTACATAGATTAAATATACGAACCCCAAAAAGGGCAGAATATGGGCTCTTTAAGTCAATCAGCGGACTGTAAATATTCTGATGCATGCTGCAATAAATGCATCATGTGTTTTCATGATGCATTTATTATTCTGAACTGAAGCAGAGAAGCTGTTTCCTCCCAGTTCTAGTCTCCAAACTGAGTCAGACAAACCGCCTTCTGTTACATGTTTAACCCTCAGATATGAGAGGTGTGTAAGCGTAAGCTATGATTATACACATATGTCACTCTTATATGTTCTGTATTAACTGTGTTTCCCACACAGACGATACTCGCCTGGGTATATCTCAGGATATTTTTTTTCATCCCTACATCGCACGCCAGAGAGAACAGGAGAAAGAGAGAGAAAGAATTATGCTGCTACGTCCCTCCTGTTAATGCAACGACTGAGGTACGACGTCTCATGTTAAAACTGAAGCTTCTTAAGCCGTCGTTTGAACATTTTCTTCAGCAGATGTTCTGCTCTCTTAGTGACTGTTGTGATACACGTGGTCGTCAACAAACATCATGAATAATTTTATATTCTAATATTGAAGCTATTGAGGTGCAGCAGGACAAGCCACTGTAAGACAAGAGGTGCATGTGTGTGTGTGTAGTCTGAACTCCTCACCCTATCTCTACTGCTGAGCCCAGACACCCGTCGCTTGTACCCCCCAATCTCAATATGTCAGTGTTTGTGTTTGTAATTTCTCTTTTTTGTCGTCTACTCTGGACTTCATCTTTGAATTAAAGGCGCTCTAAAGAGAATAACTTTCAATCAGTTTAGTTACTCTGAAGTGTGCGGGGCTGTAGGCTCTGAGGGGGACTCTCCACTCGGGTTTGGCAGGAAGTTTCTTCACAGCGACCGCGGCTCTCTCTGCAGCTCTGGACTTCTGAATCTTCTCTAGATTTCAGAAAGAAGAAAACAAGTGAACAATCGTCAGCAAGTGGAGAGACACGGGTTTCACTTTGAGTGTTTCCTCCTGAATGTTGAGTCGGCGCTTCCTGTTTTTGTTCTTCAATCAACAGGAGTTTTAAAATGCTTAAAGAACTTTGATGATCTTATTTTGGTTTCAGTTTATTGTTTAAAGATTGAAGGTTGTTTAAAATGTAAAAACATTGTGAGCTGTGTCAGAGAAGAGACAAAAGATGGGACGAATCCACGAGGGAGCAGACAGGAGAGTAAACACACACACACACACACACACACACACACACACACACACGAACACACAGGACACACACACACACACACACACACACACACACACACACACACACACACACACACACACACACACACACACACACACACACACACACACACACACACACACACACACACTGACATTTACATCTGGACAATTACACAAACTGTGCCAAAACATCACGCTGTTACAGTTCAGCCAATCAGGACTTAGCAGGAGAAAGTTCTGTTTCCTGCAGGTCATCACATGTTGAAGGACGATGCCTGGAGCTGAGCCAGCAGAAACAATGTGCTGTCTGTGAATGACCACCAGGGGGCGCCAGAATCCACATTCAACACCAAACTGATAGTATTAAAGATAATCATTCTTTTTCACCTGCTGAGATGATGTTATTACCTGTGTCACATGTTACATTTATATTGTGTTCATGTTTGTATGTTTGCAGTCTCACCTGCTGTGTTCACTGTTCGTCCTTTAGACACCTGAGACGCTGCTGCTCTGTGTCGATGCAGAACTGTGTGACTGAACTCCTCCTGCATCACCTGCACACACACACACACACACACACACACACACACACACACAAGTCACCCAGTGCATGATTTTTTAAATGTAAACACCTCGACATTTTGAATCTGTTTAGCAGCTCGTGTAAAAACACAATCTGAGCAACAAATTGACTCTTTTTCATTTGATTCATTAAATTAAGATCCTTCTGCAACCCTTTCCCGGTCCTTCCTTTGAGCAGATTGTTATGTTTGCTTTGTGCATTGCATTGTGGGAGAAAAGTGTTGGATGACCCTGATGAAGGCCACAAGCCGACACGCGTCTGATAAAGTTTATATAGTTGATCTTCGTTCTTCAACTGTTGCTGCAGCTTTCTGACCTCTTCAAGCCTTTCACGCTCTGTGCACCGTGCACATTTAGGGGCTGCTAAAGTGTGAGACACAAACTCCTCCCCCAGGTCTCACCTTCGGATTCAGGTCGTGCACTTTATAGGTAGAAACTTTCTCAGAGGTGTCAGGTGTCGATAGACGGAGGAACACGATCAGTTTTTTGCCGGCTTGTCATTGGATAAACAGGTTCGTTAGGATTTGACTTTTTGCAGGTGTCTCTCCTCCTCTCGTCTCTATCCACTCTCGCTTGTGTGCAGGGGGCGTGTCACTCACTCAGACACAACTCCGGGAAGGTTGAGGATGTAAGCAAAGTTGAAGTTATTTGTTCTTTTAGACCATCAGTGGTGGTCCAGTCTTGATTTAAAATCCAGAGTCCGACTGAGACAAGACCAAGTACAAATGCTTTTGATTCTGAGACGAGACCAAGACCTTCAAAAGTGTTCTTCACACTGGTCTTGAGTACTACATCACTACCTGTGGGTCCAGGTGTTTGCAGATGAGCTTCTCCAGGAAGGGACGCCGGAGCACCGAGCTGACCGAGGGGCGGTCCCGAGGGTTCACCTGAAAAGACAGAACGTGCAAAAACACGACATGTCAACTGAGCTTGTCAACGTGGAGGATATGAGCAAAGAACTGAAGCTTTAAAAAGAAAAATCAGATAGACGCTAAAAGTGAAACCTTACAGATTTGAAACATTGTGTAACGTATTATCTCTCTCTCTCTCTCTCTCTCTCTCTCAGAGTGTGCAGGAGTGTTTTTGGTAAACTGTACATTCAAGTGTTTCCTGGAGGGGAAAGTTTCTGTCTACATGTAAACAAATATTTCCTGGCAGTGGCTGTGAGCATCAGTGTGTGCATGTGTGTGTGCGTGTGCGTGTGTGTGTGAAACAATGAAGCTTCCTTGGGCTCGTATCCTCCACAGCTGCTCCAGCAGCTTCCTCTCAGTCTCACTTTAAATGTTTCCTCTTAAAGGTGTTTGTTGTGCAGCTTGAACTCAAAGAACTCAGAGGGGCGATAAAAGAAGACTTTCAGAATCCCAGTGAAGAGGTCAAAGTAGCCTCCAGCTACACTAGAAGACTTTTCAGAAGTAACACCAGCCTCTCTGAACTTGTTTTAACGGCTTTTATTTTGTATTTTATCGATTTAATGGACTGTAACCGTCGATCAAGGTGCAGCTCAGTCCTGCCACAGGTGTCTTCAGTGTACATCTACCCACAATGCACCGGCTGTTTGTGCACACTTGATGTAAAGGTTCTCACAATATTATGGTCTTTGATATGACGCTAGTTAAAAACAACCCACATCAAGGCTTATTTCAGTACAACAGCAACAAAAGTCCTTGTCACATGAATTAGGATCATTACATACGTCTCGGTGACAAACGTTGACAATGTTATTGAGGCTGTGCAGGAGTTTGACTGCAAAGTGTGTAGGAAGGGGGTGGGCCTTCCTGCTGGGTCATAAGGCCAATTAATGGGGAGTCTCAGTCTTGATCAGCTGAGGCGGGCATGTGTGTGAGGAGGAAAATGTTTGGACTGTGAGGTACTTCAGGAGAGTTTGGGCGAGAGACAGATTATTACTTACCCGTTTTCTTCTCTTTCCCGTTACAAAGGTTCTGTTGTCTTGGTTTTATGTTGGCAAAGTGAGCTGGTCCAGGAAAAGACGCATCCCGGTGCCGAAGCGAGGCTGCAACAGGTAAGGTCCACCCCCCTTACCTTAGCTTTGGCAGCCACAAGTGACTATGACACGGGCATCAGACGCCTGGAAGCCTGAGACGAGTTTAAATTCCTACCAGGTTGTGTTTTCTGCAAACATCTTAACTGTAAAATACTTCTTTTTCTATGCAGTGGTGCTTTTGTGATGTGTTCCATCATTACAATAACACACATTTCATCCTTATAAAAGACGTGAAATCAGATGTTATCAAAGAATTGAACATTTTGCCAAACTTACTAAACTGTGCTCCGTTCACACTATCCACCGGCTGTAAAGAGAAATAGTCTTGAAAGTGTCTGACCTTGAAGAGTTGGGTGACCAGCAGGCGGAGCTCGTAGGAGTAGCGGGTGGGTAAAGGGTTGTAGCGCCCCCTGCAGATTTTGCTGACCAGCTGCCGCAGACTGCTGCCCTCAAACTGTAGGTGAACAAAAGTATGACTCATTAACAGCTCTATAGAGGCCTCAAGCAGACATGCATCCAAACATTTTATTCACTCTGTTTTATTTCCGGTCGTTTCTTGTTTATCTCGTTTTCCCTGAGCTGCCAAAGCACAGAATAAATAAAAATGTTAATTGACCCCGTTAGTGTCAATGTTGTATTCTGACCTGTTACACTGAGTAGACTATGTTTTTTTTTTTTTTTAGATCAGCAACAGGATAAGCAGGCAACTGCTTGGGGCCCGAGGTCAAAAAGGGGCCAATAATAACTGAAAAACTTAAAGGTCACATATTAATAAAAATCCACTTCACCATGTTCCTCTAACTCTAATATGTGTCTATATTCTGTCTACAAACCCCCCAATGATGAGAAAAGTCCATCCTCTCTGTCTTCTGCCTGCTCCATTATTCAGAAAATGTGTGCTCAAACAGGCTGTTTGGATATTTTCCCTTCATGACATCACAAAGGGCAGTAACCCCTCCCCCAGGTGGGTGACACTCCCACAGCTAGGTGTTTGTTCTGCCCTCTGAGTCTGCCTTCTCACTGTAAACAATAGGACATGGAACCAGAAAGGGGTTTATAGACATGACCAAATACAGGATCAGAGTGGATTTAGAACAAGAAACTTCACACACATGTTTTGGGGAGCTCTGAGACTTATTTACACTGGTTGAAGAGGAGGAGAATATGTGACCCTTAATATAACTGGAGTGGCTCAAACTGTGCAAAGTTAGCAATGAAACCTCCCTAAAGTGCAGCAAAATCTAAGTTGGATAATGCTTACAGGGCGTTGATGAGTACTGGCTTCACGGTGTCCATCATGGAGTTCCATAAGAAAAGGATCTATTCTCAAGATCAAAACAGTATTTTGTAAATGTTTATATCGGTTTAAAGCTTTTCACAGGTGTTTTGACTTAATATTTAATTCTTCTGGTTTTTATTATTTATATTTAGATAATAATACTCATGTTAACTAACGGTGATGTATGCTGGTTGGAGGGGCGCACTTTTACATTTTTACCTCACACCCCAACGGAGTGCCAGGCATTAATGTTAGCGTTAATGTTTGTGTGTGTGTGCGTGTATGTGTGAAGCAGCTGCTGATGTTCCGCAGGGTGTGGTGCCGCTTACTGGATGCCTCAGGGTGCAGAGTTCATACAGGACGCAGCCCAGAGACCAGATATCCCTGAAGAGAGCGCACAGCACACACATGCACACACATACACGCACACACACACACACACACACGCACACACAAACACACACACACACACACTTGTGTAAGATAAGGGATTTTAAAGAAACCTGTCATTATTCAGCAGAAAAAGTCCCTGATTTTGTGTTTTCTTTGCAGCGCGTTGTTTTCCTAAAATTCTGAACAATCAGGGAGTGTTTCTATGATGTCACTGTGCAGCCGTTTTCACAGAACATCTTGTGCAACACAACATATTTCTTGTTGAAACAGGATGGAGGGGCAGGGCTTCACATTATCCTTTCCTTCCCCTGAGCTCAAGTCGTAAAAAAACACCAGAAACAAAACCATCATGTTCAAATAAATCCAGAGCGATGAAGTGTCCAATCTGAAGAAGAGTGCGTTTTAAAGTAATTTGATTCGTCATTTGCTTCTTTTTGGCTTTGAACCAAGGTTGTGCTTGTGTGTTTGCACTTGTTCTCCTATCTCTGTGAGGTCCACCTGATGGTTTAGGTCCTGTGAATGAGGACATTTCTTCTTATACAGCACCGTAGAATAGATTTTAGTAATGGGTTAAAGGCTTAAACATATGTTTAGATAGGTTTAGGGTTTTCTGTCAGTGGGGGTCTCACAACAATAGCAAATAAAATGTGTTATTGTGAGTGTGGGAAAGAGGAAGCACCTCTGGCCTCAGCTGTACCAAAATAAGAGCGTAGAGGAGAACAGAGCGATGACAGAGGATGATCATTATTCTAAAGATGGTTGCTTAATGTCTGACATTCTTTTCAGTCAGTCTCTCTCTCTGTGTGTGTGTGTGTGTGTGTGTGTGTGTGTGTGTGTGTGTGTGTGTGTGCGTGTTCATTCATCTTGTTGTTGATTTCATTTGCTGCTGAGTCACAATTAGGAAAAAAGAACCTCAAAAATAAAAAGGGGAAGCTCCTCTTTCCACTGAACCAGGATTCATTTTGACCAAATGAATCTGTATAAGAGGAAGAAATGAAGCCTCTGGGTTCTGAAAGTTTCTTAAACCTGATTTTTTTCAAATGTCCGGAAGGGGCGACTCCACTGTACACAAACAGCAGTCTTATCGTATTGAATTCTGTGATAAAATTTTCCTACTTTTGCACCTGCAGAAAACTCCTGAAACACATCCTGATATTCTCATGCTGAGCGTCATGTGTGAACACAAACAGCTGAATGTTTCTCCTCCAGCCTCCTCGTATTTATTCTGCAGTAAGTCAGAGTGAGCTGATGTGAGAATGCAGCAGGATATAATCAGGAGAATTCACCTGGAGCGAGTGGGAGGGGGTGGTGACGTTTATTCTCTGTGATCGCTGCACGACCATAGACTGTCTGCACGCCACCTCTACCATCTCTGTGCTCTAATGAACCTGCTGCATTATGTTTCCTGTTCTCCAGTATGTTCTTCTCCACTCTTTAGTTCAGATTGTGATTCTGTTCAACTACACGCAGCATTGATATAAAAGCCCCCCGTCTGACAGGGATAGTCTCCCGTAGTGAGGTGCATGTGTGAACAACCAGATCAGGTGGTTGCTACCATATTAATGTGTGAACTGCAGCAGATGCATAGCGTAGCCACTAAAAGATTGAAAAACGCCACTGACAGCGAAAGTGGATCAGTAACTTTGACTCGTTCGTACAAAAATCATATGAAAGTCAAAGAAAGTTTTGAGGGTTTATGTTCTTCATAAACAAAAGCCCAAAAAAGGACAACAATGACGACGACGAACAACAGGAAATATGTAAACCCACCCACCACTATCTTTGTCTAAACAGGTAAAAATAAGGTCAAACCACGCCTGCGTGCAAAAATCCAGAAATGAACCGACCCGAAACAGAAGTGAAATGTCACAAATTATCAACAGAGGTTGTTGTTGTTGATGTCCTGGTTGTTTTCTCTGCTGTTGTTCCAATGAGTTTTGTGGTTTATTGCAGATTTGTTTTGGTTGCAGTTGGGTGCGACAAACTGTTTAATGAACATCAGAATGATAAACAGTCTTTAATCTAATCTCTGCTTTGTTTCTGCAGTCGACAGTTTACAGGAAACTCCCTGAACTGACTCGAGGAGACGACTCCACCCAGCCGGGACCAAAAACAAACCCTAACCCTGAAAACACTTTCAGTATCATTGAATACAACTCTACACACCGCATTTTACAAGATAGAGGGACCCTTATACTAAACCCTAAACCCTTTATATTACTGTGTTAGCAGTTTGTGGAGGAAACAGATGCTGCAGGATGTCGGCAGCCTGTCAAACAGTGACACTGCAAAGCTGCTGCTTCTCCTCCGAGGAAAACATCTGCTGTGATTAACGGGCCCTGGTTTTTGTGTTTTACAGGAACATGAGAGTTAAAACCACCTTAACACCGGGAAGGTTGTTGCAACACTGGGGGGAGGGGGGATCTAAGTAAATATGAATTGAAGTGATATGACATGAGAAAGGAGCCACAGTCTGAGACCGAGACCAAGACCTTCAACAAGTGGTCTAGAGGCTGATCTTGAGTGCTACACTACTAATGGTGACACTACTGAACGTACGTCTTGTTGTTGTAGGGGCGACTCTCGCAGATCTCTGGGGAAAGGTAATACGGCGTCCCCACACAAGTCCTGGCCAGCTCCATGGTGCTGCAACAACACGGATCACACAACACGCACACCAGATATCAATGAAGTCAGTGAACCATCAAGTACCATTTGTTTGTGTTTCTACTCCTGGTGCTGACATGAAGGATACATCAGGGTGTTTTAACTCTGGTACGATTCAGGGCGCTAGTAGCTAAATGGTTATGTTGTGTACCCAAAGTACGGAGGCTGTTGTCCTCGTCGCAGCGGCCGTGGGTTCAAATCCAACCACAGGCCTTTGCTGCATGTCATCCCCTGCTCTCTCCTCGGAACATTTACTGTCTCTCTTCAGCTTTCCTAAAGGCAAAAAATGTCCCAAAGATATTTTTCTAACAGGAATTTTACCCATAATACTTTGCGTTTCTAAAATCAGTGTTGACGTTATAAATGGAAACTATAAAAGTCCTCAGTGCTTCATAAACTGACAGAGAAGCGGAGCTCTCCTGCTCTTGAAGCTGAGCTGGCAGTGCCTACATGTCCCAGGATGCATTGCAGCAGAGTCTGGAATAAAAACAGCCTCCTCTGCACTCATGTTTTGATGCATATTTTCTGTTCATTGTGTCATTTTTGAAGCTAGTTTTCTGCACAATCTGAGACGAAGACTAACAAATGCATGGTGAAATAGTTTATAGTCCTTACAGGTTACTAACTTTGTGAAATCATGGCGCTGGTGCAGAAGGAATAAAACTAACTGTTCAGCACAGAGACACAGAGAACATCAACAACATCAACAGTCGTACTGGGGGGACGGAGTGACCCCCCCTCTGTACCGTCTTCAGTGTAACAGAGCGTTACATAGGAGAGACGGGCTCAGCGGAGCCAGCGGGGGAGAACAGCGCTGTGTGTGCGTTCATGTCTGACTGTATGTGTATGTGGAGCTCCTGCTTCTACAACGCTGAAACGGCATGTGAATTTACAGACTGGGACACTGACATTACACAGTCACGGAATCAATATGAAAGATCAGGTAGGAAGCTTTAATTCCCCTCGCTATTTACCTTGTATTATCAGGTAGGAAGCTTTAATATTTTGTGCATACGGTGTGTCATCTCCTGGACTCAGATCAGAATCATTCATAGAGGTCGACCATCATGTGTGTTTACGTGTCCTGGTCGAGTGCGAGGAATGCTAATGACTTGTTTGGAGGTCTTCCATGTGTTACAGAGCGCTCAGTGATAAACAGCTGCATCGTGTGTGTGTGTGTGTGTGTGTGTGTGTGTGTGTGTTTGTGAAGATGACACTGACTTACTTATTCAGCATTCTTGCAATTCCAAAGTCCCCCAGCTTCGCTTTCATCCCTCCGTTGGTGAGGAAGATATTCTAAACCAGAGGGAGCGCAGAGGGATGAAAGCATGTCTGTGTAGCAGTGACTGTGCATGTGTGCGTGTGTGTGTGTGTGTGTGTGTGTGTGTGTGTGTGTGTGTGTGTGTGTGTGTGTGATGACAGATAGTGATGGCAGTGAACACAGCAGCAGTCTGTGGTCAGTGCGAGTTATTCCGGGAGTTGGCACACAGCGAGCTCTTTGTTTCAGAACAAAGCGGAGCGTCGGACAGTTCAGCCTCTCAATCCTCCGTCTGTGTGGCGACTACACTCGTTAATTAAAAATCTTAACCTCAGGCTCTGTGGATCATGTTGTTTATCAAATACAAGTTTAAATAGGAATGTGACGGTTTCTGGGAGTCTCCGCTGAGAGAGGAGGCTGTGCTGAAGTTTGATAAACATCTTTTATAAGAATGAAGAAACTTTATGATCATTATGTTTTGCTCACCAAAACATGGGCCTCCTGCAAGAACATGTCCTCTGTGTCCTAAACTACTCGCTTGTTCTCTGAATGTCATGTTGTTGTGACGGAGGATAAAAGCCACATTCCAGAAAGAAATAGCTAAGACCCAGTGTGCACCTGGAGTGTTTTCCGGTCAGTAAAGCGCTGGCAGTGCGATCTGGAGTGTTTGTATGAAGCGTTTGTGCGCTGAGAAGAAAAACGATGCTCGCCCGTCCTGTCTCCATGACAACAGTCTGTCAACAACGAACGCTGTATGACCGACACTGCTCCATTACTTTTTACTGCATGTTTAATATTTGAGATCGTTTATTTCCTATCAGACACGGAGCGAGGAGGATGTGGGGACAAGACACGGTCCCGTAGGAGGCAAATCTACGGGGAATATCACACATTTGGAAAAGATTTTCAACTTGAACGCTCAGATCGGCCGCACAAAAAAGGCGGCGCTAGGAAAACAGACGCTGGGCTCTGCACTTTTTCTCCGGGGGGGCCGCTTCCTGCTGCAAACGCTCTCTACTCGTTTAAAACTACTGAAGAAAAGACGCTGGCACTCACAAAACACGCAAGGTGGACACTGTGCCTTAGATTTATACAACACAGTTGTAATAAGGCGAGAATGATGTCATGATATGATGAGGATATCATCCTCTCTTCCCTCCCTGAAACGCTTCATTACAGCTACTGTCTCTTTAAAGGCTTTATATGCTTTATATATTGTCGCCCTTGAGCACCAGCATGAAACCAAAACAACTCGCGGTGCATTGTTGTGTTAGCATGCTAATGCTAGCGATCTTTATTATGCTCGTATCTTCACACTGCATGTAAATTTACCTGAAATGAGCGTGATCTAGAAACGCAGTTAAGCAGTGAGTACAGTATGTTATTCTTCTTTTCTCTAGTCCCTCAGTTAAACAACTTTTATACGAGAGGGGAGGAGTCAGCCGCCGTCCTGGCGATATAAACAAAATGAAGATATGACTCGGAAAACTCTGAAAGCATCACAGACAGTGGGACTCGGGTGTCACACTCCTTGTAGACAGTCATGACTTGAGTTACTTTCAGAGGATATACTTGATTTGATTATATTTAAGTGTGAAAAATCGCATATAAAGCCTTTAAGGCCACATACAAATACAAATAATGATTGATAAATTACCCGTAGGTGTGAATGTGAGTGTGGCTGGTTGTCTGTCTCTATATGTCAGCTCTCTGATTGGCTGGTGACCAGTCCAGGGTGTAACCCCGCCTCTCAACCAATGACAGCTGGGATCGGCTCCAGCCCCCGCGACCCTGAACGGTAAAAGCGGTATAGGTGTAGATAATGGATGGCTGTTAACATCATCTTGCTGACTTTTGCTGATCTGTTATTTAAAGTTTTTTATATCTTTATATCTTTAACTTCCTTTACAACCATTCCTGTTGTTTCCTTCTTATTCCTGTTATTGACATTCAAGTATTTATATATTACTCCTCTCTGTTTGTCCCGACTGTTGGTGTTTATTCTGTTATTGTCCTGACTTCCTGTCTTTGTTTTGACTGTCTCTGCTCTTTGTAAACATCTGTTTTTAAATCTGAATGAAGTGATTATTATTGTTCATATGATGAGATTATAGATTATTTAAAGCTTTTGTCTGTTTTGTATCACAGTCAGTAAATGATTGTGGTTTTGGACTCCTGTTCATAAACAAGCAGCTTCCAGATGGCAGATCGGACTCTTGGAGCCGGTCTGTTAAACTGAGGTTATTTTGAACCCTAAACTGTGAATCAAATCAAATGAAACTCTCTCTTAATGTCTGTGTGTCGCAGTGTGACGTTCTGTCCTTCATGAACCGTCCTCTGAACCCTCATGTCTGACCTCCTGAACCATTTGGAGTCAAAGATGTGGATGTGAGTGTTTGGTCATGAAGCGTCTCAGATACCTGAGCTTTGATGTCTCTGTGGAGGATCTTCCTGTCGTGGATATGTTTGAGTCCGAGGCAGATCTGAACGAACCAGGCGACCACCTAAGAAACAGAGATCACAGCCAGTGTCACTTTTATATATCCATCTTTCTTCCTCTTAACAGAGGTCAGGTCACGGTCAACCCAGACTTCCCTTTCCCCAGCAACGTTTTCCAGCTCCTCCTCCTGGGGGATTCTGAGGTGTTCCCAGGGGATATAATCTCTCCAGTGAACTCTGGGTCTACCCCGGGGTCTCCTTCCAGTTGGACATGCCCGTAAAACCTCCAAAGGGAGGCGTCCAGGAGGATCCTGATCAGACGCCTGAACCACCTCGACTGGCTCCTTTCGATGTGAAGAGTAGCGGCTCTACTCCTATTTTTTTTTTAACCTGTCTTATTATATTTTAGCACAGTATTTGTTCATTCAAATTTTAACTTTAATGAATTTAAATGAATAATCTTAACCCATTTTAGGCATCTCTTTTACTAAATGGTGTAGTGTTAAGCTGTAACGACTCTGGGTGGATTTCACCACCACAGAGTCCAACTCAGGCCGCCTGCTTGGAGGACTACAGACTCCGTACATGAGTCACGTGCTATAACCGCTAGGCTACGGGTACCCCTAAATGTCTTCTGTTAATGTCTCTTTTTTCCTTTTGTCATGATTCTTCTGATGTCTGAAGCACTTTGAATGTGATATAGAGTATAGTGTAATGCCATTGTTCAGTGGTTGTGTACTGTCTTACTGTTGTGAAGATGTTGTTAGTGTATGTTTTGTTTCTTCACAGAGACGTTGTCTCTGTCTCCTGCCCTGGGACTACAGATGTAAATTAGCTTATAGCTAACTCTGGTACAGCTAATTGGCTGTACACTGTCCCTGTCAAAATAAACAAATAAATGAAATAAATAAATAAATAGAAATAAACCTGGCTTCCCTCAAACATTGCTCCCTATGTGTCGGTGTACCTGCTCCTCCCTGAAGAAGACTCCTCTCTGCATGTTGATCTTCTTCATCAGATCTCCTCCATCACAGTACTCCATCACGATGTACAGGCCGCCCCTCTCTGCACTCACACAGTAAACCCTCATCAGCACGATGTGAAGTGATCCCCCCGCAGCTTCACACTCTCTGTGGACTCACACTGACCTTGAAAGGAGCTGATGAACGAGACGATGTTCGGGTGTTTCATCTTCGACAGCAGAGTCACTTCTTTCTTCGACGCTTCCTTCTCCCTCGCTGACATCTGAGCACAAAAGCGAAGAAGTGAGAATTTCCTCCTTTAATATAAACTTTTGTTACTTTGCTGTTAATTCTGTTTTTTGTCTGGACACGTGCACGTCTGAACTGAACTCTTCTGGACATACGGACATGAACATTCCTCCTGTAGTGAAAGACAACCTGCAGCCTGTCTGTTTTGCAGACATCTGTATCCTCTTATGGAGTTTTTATATCACAGAATTACGATTCTTACATCGTTGTTTTGGGGCCTGAATGTTGCTTTTGAAGGAGGAAGTTATTGATGTGCATGTTCTGATTGTGTTTATGTATATTACAAACTTTTATAACACTCCTCCAACGGCTGCTTCGCCTTTTTATACAGACTGAAGAACATATTTTGATGCACATTCCTGCAGAAATGATGCAGCGCAGTAAGAACAATAATGTAAAATCGACGACTTCCTCTAGTAATAAAGATTATTGGTGTGTGGAAGTCTTAAATGCTGCAGCTGATGTACCTTCCTGAGGTTGATCTGTTTGACCACACACTGTCTCTCTCCGCCGCCATCTTTGTCTCGAACCAGGAAGGCTTTACCAAACGCTCCCTCTCCGATCTGACGAATGACCTCATAGTTGTTCATAACACCCGAAGCTCCTGCAAAGGAGAAAATCAGGAAGTAGTTTGTACAATAAAATCTGTGAGGACCCTCAATTTAGTGATCGATTAAGGGAGCTCCAGTTTTTAATTCTTCAGGATTTATTATTTGGTTGAAATCATCATCGAGGTCGCTCATCACAAATCAGGTTAGCTGCACACTTTCAAAAGTCGAATTTAAGGGGCGCTAGTGGCGTGGTGGTTGGGTGGTCCATGTACGGAGTCCTTTAAGCAAACAGCCTGGGTTCAAGTCCGACCTGTGCCTCATTTCCCACTCTCTCCCCCGATATATTACTCTGCCCTCTGTCGTATCAAATAAGGAAAAAGACAAAATATAAATATTTAAAAAAAAACCTCTTATTTAAGATTTTTAAATAGCTTTAACCGCTTTGATTCATTGTCCCAATTGAAAACATTTTTTGCAGATCTTGCAATTTGCCTCATAATCGTTATTTGTCCTTGCCAACAGTTTTCAGTATTTCTCATCTTGAGGCCAAACAGTCTTTGAACTTACATTTCTGCATCTTCTCCTCCTTCACTTTTTTCAGTTTGTGCAGGCATGGGTACATTATCAATGACGTAACTGCTGTGAATTGTCACGTGAATAAAAAATCAATCATGTAAAGGTAGGTAGACAGGATAGATCTGATAAAGTATTCAGACATGTCTCAGTCAAAAGGCCATGTCAAATGTAAGACCTCTCAAAAGTCAAAATAAGACTTTTTAGGACATATTATGACCTTAAATTTAAATAATCCATATTAAGACTTTTTAAGGATATACAGGAACCATTCAAATATTCTGAAGCCCAAGTTCAGTCCAAAAATGTTACTTAAATTTGGAAATATAGATATTTAATGTGGTGAATTATGCGTTTTTGCATTCAACAGGCTGAAAAACATCCAACATTTAGGATAACCTATTATCATTAATCCATTACTGTTAATGATCAATTATAATTAAACAGAAGCTACAGCTAAAAAAAGTCATAAATATCGTGAAACTAAGCGGAAAAGGGTCAAAAATAAAGTGAAGACAGGACAGCAGATTATTATTTTTATGAAGATTATCTTTTTAATCGATTTGTTTTGGTCGTAAAAATGCTGATAAAACAGAGAAACTGCGTCATAATGATTCATATAAAGACAAAACTTTTAAATTAAAGCATTAAAGCTCATTTTCACGCTTTTAAAAAACCACCACTGTGTCCCTGAGTCCCGGCGGAGGGAGCCCGTTGCCATGGAGACAGGTACACGGGCCCGCTAGCTTCCATGCTAGCATGCTAACAAAAGTTCATAAGATCGGTAAGATAATGCCGTTTTTTCCTGTTTTAAGGCTAAGATAACAGTCTCATCTTACCTGTCACACCTGTGTTGTTGTCAGAAGTAGAACTTACATCATGAAACAAAGCAGCACCGAAGAGTTCAAACAGGTAAAAGTGCCTGAACACCGTTAACAAACCGTTTGTGTGATCAGGCTTGCGCGAGGGGAGAACGCAGGGCATGCTGGGAGTTGTAGTACAACTCATCACACTCATTTTATCATACTTTTATTTTATACAATTTCTCTGCTTTTTAGTTTTTTATTCTATTAAATAAATACTATTTTATTTGGTCTTTGTCTTGAGGAGGTCCTCAAACAAGCATCAAGCCCTCTCTGGTTTCAAACACCTCTCCTATACATATCTAAACTCTTTGTTTTATTTATTGTGGCTTTGTTTTTTGTTTTTGATACAAATAAATAAATAAAAATAATCTGCATGTTTTGGACTATTTGTTTGGATTAAAACATACACAGACACACTGTTTCTTTGCTGTGTTGACACACAGATATTCACCTTAAATGTGTATGTGTGTGTTTGTGTGTGTGTCTCGTCTCTCACCTGCCTGATGGGTAATCAGAGACAGACTCCAGTGTGAGTGTAAAGTCCAGACCCTTATTTAAAGTATCAGAATGTCAGTAGAGGTTTGGGGCTTTCTTCACACACACACAGATCATCTTTCTGTTGTCAAATTTTAGAGATCACACCCCACAGGGCTATATCAGGCAGCCATCATCACTGTGTGTGTGTCTGTGTGTGTGTGTGTGTGTGTGTGTGTGTGTGTGTGTGTGTGTGTTTCTATATCTGACAGAGAATGATGCTTATACAGAGTAAGAATATTTGCCACTTATAATTATGGAAGACGTAACCTGATGACTGATAGTAAACATAGACAAGTATAAAAACAGCACAATTAAAAGTCAAACAACTTTATTGCCCAGTAGGTAAAAAAATCAATCCTCCAACAGTCAAGGAAACTAAAACAAAGTTGCCTATGTGCACATGCGTACTGTAAGGGTGGTTATGATACCAGGAAGTTAGGCTCCTAGGCCCCCGATATTGCACAATTTCTTGGTTTCAATGATCATACTTTCTTGATGATATTGTTTTTAATACCTGTGGTATCAAAAAGCATCAAATTATAAACCATCTAACAACCTCAGTGTATTTATGAGATCAATATTATGAGAATGTGTTCACTAAATATCAGCAGAAAGAGTCAAGAGAGAGACATCTAATAACAGCAGACTGAAGATGTTCCCGCACACTTTCTCTAATGCCACAAAACGTTTTGATTCTATCACGATCAGAAAGGTTTCATCCAGCCGTCTTCTTCAACAGGTTAAAAGTATTACCAACCAAATGTTGAGCAGTTTTGGCTGAGCCTTCAGCCTCAGTACATGGAGCGTGCACACCGAGCACTAGGCCACCAGCCTCTTATCATGACTTTGAAATATCCTTGTTTCTTTGCATCCTCGTGATGCTTTTGATGTCTTGTGCGAATCGCCTTGTTGCTTAAATATGCTTCATAAATAAACTGACAAGTATCCGTAAACTGTAACATCTGCTTTAACCCTCTAATAGTAAAAGAACCTGAAAACACTTTGATGACTGTTCTTCATTCTCGTTCACTGCTTCAGTCTGTAGATCAGGAGTTTCTAACCTCCACAGTTTTCTGCTCACATCGACCTCCTCTCTGATCCTTCAAGGTGACACTCCCCTGCTAACCACCTGGCCCATTTCCCATCAGCCCACCCCCGGGCGAGGTCCCTCTGATTAGCGCTTTAATCAAGGACGAATTTCCACTGTGATCAAATAACACGGAGGCCGAGCGCCCGCCGTGTCACCTGATCTGGTGTCAGTCCTCTGAGGTGACGGCTGCAGACACAAAGTCATGTGATGACACGGCACAGTGACCAAGAGCATCTGAACAGACGACCGTCAAAGTAAGTTCTTCATTACACGCAAATCCAAATCCTGCTACTTAGGCACTGAAGTATACGCAGCTTCTTTTAGGTACAAGTCTTGAAATGAAGTCACCATCCACTCGTCTACTACCTGCAAACCTGGATGTCAACCAATTTCCTAAAACTCAACAACAATAAAACTGAGCTCATGGTTGTTGACGGGTGCTCCATCTGAACATCCTACTGTAATGGGAGTCCTGTCTGGGGTAACCAGTAAAACCCTGGACAGGCTCAGATACGTCCAAAACTCTGCTGCCAGAGTCCTCACCCACAAAGACCTGGCAGCACATCACCCAAACCCTCATCCACCTTCACTGGTTCCCAATTAGATCTAGAATAAACTACAAAATATTCACTTACAGATCCCTCCTCGCCCCTCGGTACCTCTCCGACCTCCTACACAACGTCCCAAAACCTCCGGTCCTCGGACTCTGTCCTGCTGTCCGTACCAAAGACAAGACTCCACACCTATGGAGACAGGGCCTTCAGGGTCACAGACCCCACTCTTTATCCCTACATGTCTTGGTCTTGTCTCAGAGCACTCTGGTCTCGACTACAACCCTACCTGGACTTGAACCAGCAACCCAAGTCCCTTCAGTCTGAGCTACTGCCTCCCCAATTCTCTGTCTGGTCCCTCCACCATGTCAAGTGTCTTTGGGTCCCATGAAAGGCGCTTCATAAAGACAGAAAAGATGGGTTGATTCAAGAGGGCAAGGGTGTGGCCGATGAGAATGTGTTTAATTGAGACATTTTCCCACATTGACTCTCTTGAAAGAAATGTATAAAGTTTCCCTTCACGTATAAAAACGGTAGAAAAAGTCATTGAGGATTTAAAGAAGTGAAGTGAAACAGGAAGCTGGCAGCTTAACAAGGGAACCAAACAAGAACGCAGGTTTGTTTTTATTGTTTTGTTTATTGTGTTGGTCTGTTCATATCCTTAGAGATTATATACACAAATTAGTACAAGAAGAGTTATCAGAAAAATTACACATTCAAATAAAAAGATAGACAACCCTGGTGAAAAAGACTGAAACCAAAGTGTGAGTGTCCTCCTGTGAACCCCTCTCTCTCTGCTGCAACTCATAAAGCTAAACAAGTGACACATTCGTCCACTTTCGTGTATATAAAGATCAGTCTCCAGTTAAGAAAGACACGTGCAGTGTTTTAAGAACTACAGCAGACAAAGTACAAAATAAACATGAAAAAAAGCCTCCTGGACTGATCCGTTATAAAAAGTCGCTGTTTTCTCCTGAACGCTGACTGAAGGAAAGACACTCAATTTAGCGTTGTCTGTTCAGATCAACGCTCATGCTATATTTGATTAGAATAATTTACTGCTTTATATGCCTACTTTAGAGAGTTATTGTCTGAAAAGTTTCCAAAGAGATCCCCGTACAGAAAAGTGAAAAAATACTTAACTTTAATCCTTTTTTTTTTTTTTTTGAACACCGATGAAAATTCAAACAGCTTCACATTTCACTCCTCTCACTCACTCAAACTACCTGAAGATAGAAAACGAAGAGACAGGTGAGCATCAACACTAATCTCACTGCACTTGTGACTTTAAGAGCAGGTGTGAGACCGCCGAGGTCTCTTAAGGGTGACAGATCAGAGTCTCCACCACTGTGTGGCTCTCGAAGTGACGGATCTTGCTGCAGTTCATGGCTTCACGCTTCTGCATGCCTGGAAGACAAAGAGAAGGGGTTAGCACGCTGCTAACACGGACGAGGTCAGGTGTTCACTGGTGCTGTCACAAAAAACTCCTGAAAACATTTTTTGGGTTGAGCTGCAGCGCAAATTTTCTCAAGCGGGGTTTCTCCGGCCGGCCTCTGAGTATTTTTTCTGCAGAAAGTCTGAAACTCTTTTCACACTGCATATCCACTAGTACTGTAACTAACCTCAGCCGTCATCACGTCTTTGTACATTCATAGAGACATTTTCAGGAGTGTAAATGTGGGGAGACAACACAGATACATCTATGGCGTTCAGACTGATTGCATACAGACACGTGTTTGTTGTAGGTCTTTCAAAAATGTTTCTAAGTTGACTTAATTAAACGGGAGTTGCTTTTGAGTTAAACCATCCTGATTCTTTAGATTTTTGGGAATTGACACTTTGTTTGGAGCTCTTAGCGGCCACACTCCGTTTTCAGTGTTTCCCAGAGCGTCCACATGTTCTCAGTGACGGCGAGACTCTTACTACTTTTAAATAATCTATTAAAAAAAGAATCACGGTTCCTACCCAGAATCCTGTCTCTGCGCTGCAGCTTGAAGGTGTCTTTGCCCCTGCAGAGATTATAGATGAAATATCCAAGCTGGTCGACGCTCTCCAGACGCTCGGTAACGATCATCTCCTCATGGATCAGGTACGACTGAGGCAGGTAGGTGCCGGCCTGGCAGAGAGAGAGCAACACAAACATGTGAACCATGAACTGATTAGCTTCAGCTGTTTCTTTAAGACTTTAACGTCTCCGAGCTGTGTACAATAAGATCACTTCATTTAGACTCTTTGTTTCTGTCCACTCGTTGTTTTTGTTACATCACAAGCCAAGATTTTCGCTGAAACATTTTTTTTTACCTTCACGTTGACGAGCAGTTCCAGGAAGTCTCTGGGCGGCATCACGACGGAGGTGTTGAGCGGGATGACATAGCACTTGTTCAGACTCAGATCCAGGTAGGCGGTCAATTTCTGAAAGAGAAAGAAACATTTACACGCCAAGAACACAGAGCGTTAAAAAGCTCAATTCTTCCATTCTTTATTCAGTTATGAAACTTTTATTTTGAAATTTTCACAATATTAACTGCATTTATACGACAGTCAGGTCACATTCACAAACATGAATCAAATGATTTTTATCCAACATGAATACAAATCAACACTAAACACCCTGAACTGTGTGATTTGGAGGTTTGTATTTAGATCTCAGAAAGAGTTGATTTCTATTAACAGCTGCTGATATTTAATACCCAGATCCTCCACTTCGTTAAAGACAGAGTCAGCAGATTCCTCCTTCAAAATAAAATACAGACTCATCCTAAAGTAAAGCTGCTCCATCGTCCCTTCTGGGCCTCCATACATGTGTGGTGGTGACTGTGTCTGCAGAGACTCTGTCCTCTGACTGGATTTTACTGTTCTGGTTTGCGCAGCAGGTGAGTTTAGGAGTGGATACAATTCAGAGATTGGCAGAGCAAATATGACGGACGTGGACATAGCAGCAAAGA